TATAGTAATATATATATATATATATATATATATATATATATATATATATTTAAATCTCAAGAACAAATATATTTTTTTTATATCATATATAATTTTAGATCTTAAGAATTAATAAATTTTAAATTCTGAATTATATTAATATTCATTTCACACGAAAGACTTGAAGTCTCAAGTAAAAACAAAGTGAGATAAAAAAATTTAAAATTTATGCATTCTCAAATTTTAAAAAAAAAACTTTTAAAGTGTCCTAAATCCTAGTCAAGGAGAGTAGCAAAACATAAGTGGATTTCATTTTTGTTACTAGATTGAAAAAAATTACTTTATTATTGGGCTTCCAACATGCATTTCTTAGATGTCGTAAAGGTCTTGCACGAAATAGAATTACATTTTGCTAGAGAAATATTTTTAGGATAATATATTTCACTTCATATTCTGATACGATAATATAATATTAAATGTTGTATTATAGTTTTTGCTTTTGATAATATATTTTAGCATGTTGTGTTTTGTATTCCAATTACCACATTATGTTATTGTTGTTTGTGTTGTCTTGTGATAGAATTTACACTGTCTTTTTATTACTTGCTATATTTTTTTTCAATATTTCCTTCTTCTTTGTACATAAATTTGTTGTACTTGAATTGAGGGTCTTACGGAAACAATTTTTCTATTTCCAAAAAGTAGTGATAAGGTCTACCTACATTTCACTCTTCTCAGACCCCACTTGTGAGATTTCTCTGATATGTTATGTTATTGTTGTTGTATTCTAATAAACAACAACAACAACAACAATAATCAAAAGTGTAAACAAACCATAGATAATAACAAAACTCAAAGAACAAGAAATAATACTACAAACAATAGTATATAGTAAAAATAAGCGAGTAAACACTCAATTATCTAACCAACCTCCTATCTTAATCCATATTTTTTTAACCTTCTATCAAAGGTCAGGTCCGCAGTAAGCCAAAGTTACATCATATCTTGCCTAAATTACCTCTCTTCAATACTTTTTCCGACTTATCTCTAAAACCACCCATAGCCAACTTCTCTTACTTACATAAATACAAAAAAAATAAGTGTCATTTTCCCAAAAAAAAATATTTTCCTTCGTACCGAACACACCCAATAACTCATGGAAATGTTCTAGGCCCACTTTGGCCCAAATCACAAGGTTCGTTTATTCTTGACCCGAATCAGAATTTCGACATTGTTTTTCTCTCTTTCTCATAGTTGCTCCATAGCCATCACCTCTTTACAAATTTTGCTTCATTCATAATCTTCACAATCTCAACTACCCCTTTTACACTTCCCCACAACAACAACAAACAAAAAGATTGAATCTTTTTCCCTTAAGTTCCAAAAAATCATCAATTTTTTTGAAAATCCCCCCAAAAAATTATCATTTTTTGAAATCTCTAAGTCAAAATTTTCAATTTTTCAGATTCCACACCTTAATGGGTGTGATTTAAGATCAAGAAATCATGTTGGGTGCTGTCCAATTAGGACTTTTTGCAGCAGGGGTTGTACTTTTTGTCCCTATGGGTATGGCAGGTTGGCATTTAAGCCGTAACAAGATGCTCTTTTTCAGCTGTGCCCTTTTCATCACTCTTGCTGTTGGTGTTCATCTTGTTCCATATTTCCCTTCTGTTGCATCTTTTCTTTCATCAGGTTCAAGTTCAGGTTCAGATTCTTTATCATCTGTTATTGTAAATCGTGATTCTTGTTTTTCTTTACTTCATCAAGTAGCATTTGATTTTCAAGAATTGAGTAATAATAGTAAAAGGGGTTCTTGGAAATGGGTTGAGTCTGAAAATGTTGTAGATTGTGATTTCCAGAAGTTGACTAAGAATGATGCTTCAGATTTGTTAAATGGGTCATGGGTTGTTGTTGCTGGGGATTCACAAGCAAGGTTAATGGTGGTTTCACTTTTGGAGTTGTTATTGGGGGAAAGTAAGATGGAGATAATAAAGAAGGATCTTTTCTTGAGGCATAGTGATTATAACATATTTGTTGATGAGATTGGGATGAAGCTGGACTTTATATGGGCACCTTATATGAGTAATTTGACTGATTTGATAATGGGGTTTAAAGAAAAAAAGAGTTATCCTGATGTATTTGTGATGGGGGCAGGGTTATGGGATATGTTACACGTAAATAATGTGTCGGAATATGGTGTTTCGTTAAAGTCTTTGAAGGATTCAGTAGTGTTGTTGTTACCAGTTTCTTCAGCGTTTGCTAACGGTGATGGTTCTGGGACGAATAATGTGATTCCACTTCGGTCACCCAACTTGTTTTGGTTGGGGATGCCTAAGTTGATAAGCTCAATGTTGAAAACAGATGAGAAGAGGGAGAAGATGGATGATGTAATGTGGCAAGCTTATAATGACGAACTTTACAGAAGTAAGCTGCTTCAACAATCTGGTGGACCGTTGTTTTTGCTGGACGTGCATTCATTGAGTAATAACTGTGGAGCTGATTGTATGTCCGATGGGATGCATTATCAGGGGGCTGTCTATGAAGCTGCTGTACATATCATGTTAAATGGATTGCTGATAGAATCTAACCAGAAGCTATGATGAAGCAATTATGGTTAACGATGTGACACCCTTCCACAATGGGAAAGGGCAATCTAATTACTATGGTAATTGCTAGAGCTCATACTTCAATAATGTCGATGAATATTTTTTTTCCAAGTATTCATTTGGCAACTGATATTTCTATAGCAAGAATTCATTGATGGTAGTTCATATTCTTTTCCCCTTGTTCATTTGTATGATTACTGATACTTACACGAATTGTATTCTAGAGCAGGAGAAACTCCTCATATCTCATATGTAGAACAATCGACGTTTCTGAAATGTGTACAATATTGAGAATCCAATTAAATGATTGCATCTCTATATGGTATTCTACTTGCTTTTATGTCAAGTTGACCTTATCTCTCTTGAAGCTACTTAAATTTGATACCATAATAGACCTTGTCTTTTTCTGCTTCTCTAGTTTTGTGTTTCTTGGTAGTTGTAAGGTCTAACTTGAGTTTATATATGACTCTTTTGTATGTTTGATGCTTGTACTTTGAAGTTTGTAGTCTTGCATTGGAATTAGAACATCTCCAGGAAGCTTCTTACTCTCCTTGTATGTTTGAAGCTTCTTACTCTCCTTGTATGTTTGAAGCTTCGTTGGGTACATGTCGGATCCTTCAAAAGTAATGCATTTTTGAGGATCCGACACTGGTGTGGCAACACTTTTGGAAGGTCCAAGCATCATAGCTTTATAGCTATATCAAGATGAGTGGAAAGAAAAAGATGATTTTCTGATTGTGTTGTCATGATGCAAGGTGAGGAAATTTGTCTCTTCTTCCCTCTCCAACCACTGGAATTTTTGCTACGACTGTAAATGAAGTTCGTATTTAATTGCATTTTTGAACTTATTCAAATATATAGTTGTTTGCTATGTTGCTCATACTCTCTGAAAATGTTCTTGTACCTTTGTCGGATCCTCCAAAATGCACTAGCTATGGAGGATACAATACACACCTATCAATATTTTTGAAGAATCCGAGCAACGTAGGTTGTTTGTCAACTTTCTAAGGTGGGGAGGTAGTTATTATCTTGAATATACATGTCCTTTAGTTTGTTAGGAAGCTTTGAATTAGGGAGAAAGTCAGGGCAAAAAGCTAGAGATTTACCTTTCTCAGCCCTTATAAATGGAGAATGGACCATAATTCTAGTACAACAACAACATACTCAGTGTAAAATTATGCCCTCCTGATTCGGATCTTTAGGCGTTTATCGCCTGAACATGGAATCCATCTGCTGGAGTGAAAATTATCTACAGCGACACTGGCTGTACGTGCAACATTATTTTTCATATAGCTAACAAACACAATACAATACATGTATAAACAATGAAACATACTTACTTACTATTACATTCAAGTGATCTTACAACTTTGCACTCCAAAATCTACATCTGGTAGTTCCCCATCATAAACAAGCACAACTCAATCTCAATGAATCCCTCAAATAAGGTCCAGGAACAGATACAGTGCTGGCAGAGTCCTACGATTCGAACTGCTTACCTTGAAAAGTCTGTCCAAAATTCCAGATCTTCGGAGCAACATTGTAAGATGTTAAGGTGACTCCATCACTGCTTGTTATCTCGAAAGCTAGTGGTTGATTCTTCAAGTCCGCACTTATGTGCCAGTTTTGGCCCCAGATTCTACCCATAGGGAGCCATCCTGTTCTTGAACCCTTAACTTTTGCTGCCACTATATCACCCGTGCCTGCAACGTTACTGATTAAAACAGACAAGAATATTCCAGCACCATTGATCGTGAATCGAACTCCTCCTTCCTTTCTGCACTTTATTCTGTTGGAAATTGTGAAAAGAGGCACACTGTAAATTCTCCATCAACTGTAGATTCAGAACAGAAGAGCTAACAAAAACTTGAATATTCAAATAAATATCATACATGTACTTGCTAATAATCAAGATACAAAACTAAACTGTAGCTGGAGTTCAGAGGAACTTTTGCAAGACTCAAGAAGGGGACAACAACACACCGACTAGAGAAGCTGTTTTCGAAAGACCCTCGACTGAGCAAACAATGAAAAAGACGCAATAGTAACAAATAAAAACAACAAGAAGATAATAAGATATTGAAACAACACGTAGTGATAGAAATCTATCAATAACAGAAAGAAAAGAATTATACTGAACTCTGGGAAAGGGAACAAATTCTAATCCTTGACCTCTACACCCTCCTATGAAGGGTCATGTCCTCGATGAACTCAAGATGTGCCATATATTGTATCTGGATTTCAGAGGAGCTTTTGCAAGACTAAAGAAGAAGGTGAGACAAAATTGTACTTGGTGAATGTTCAAGTGCAACCAAGTGATACCTGAAGGTGGTGAAAACAAGGAATACTAAATTCAGTATTAGATCGGTGAATATGGTTTTATTAGAAGGGAAATGGAAGGACTTCCCTTATAAAATGTTGGTGCCTGGAAAATTCACAGATTTTGAGGCTTGATCTGTTTTGATATGAGCAAGGTAATGCCAAGCACACTAAAGGAGTTGTGCTTGAAGATATGGTGGGTGAAGGGCAGGGAGGAATAAGGAAGCAGTTGCTCTGTAAGCTTTAATACATACTATGATGAAAATCAACGTAAAACACTGTAACTCTGGTGATTTCGTTGGATACTATCGATATAGAAGGTTCACATAGTTGACCACAACAAGTTTCGATTTGAGGCATAGTTGATTCATTAGTTCAGGATTGGAATTCAGTTCAGCTTTGCCACAAATAGATCACCCTATATGAACCAAGGTTTAGGCAAATGGGAAGAGTTCATCTGATCGCTCTCTACTAGAATCCGAGCCTTGATACCCTTGGTTGTCATTCCAACCCTTCAACCACCACGCCAACCTTAGGGGAGTATGATGCACATTATTATGACGGGAAAATAGTTTAATCCTCCATGAACGTCGTTGAATTAGAGAATCACAAATGAAATTATGTGAATAGTTTCATGAGAGCCCTCTACGAGAGACATTTAAATAGTTACGGACCCCAAAATCCTAAAAATTTCCTAAGAAATTGACCAAAATTGCTAAAATCTCCAACATTTGAACCATCTAATGCTTCTTATAACAACAACTACGCCTCGATCCCAAATAAGCTGAGATTGACTATATGAATCCTCGATGACCATTTTTCTCCTTTTTAAATTTATCTCAGACCAGAATTATTCTTGAAACGAAGGGAGTAATGAATTCTCCCAATAAAGCATCTAAAACAACAATAATACCCAATGTCCCACAAAATAGCGTCCTGAGAGGTAGAGTGTAGGCAAATCTTACTTCCGAGGTTGTTTCGATAGATCATCAACTTAAGAAATAGCAAAATAGCAGAACAATAACCACAACAAACTAATATGGTAATCGAAATACAAGAAACATCCAATAATAGAAATTAAAGGACAAGAAACTATACGAGCAATACTACCTTCGATACTGAACAGGCATATTTGAAGCTTTCCAAATAGCAATTTTCTCAAAAGCTTCAATCGGCAGAACAAAATGAGCATTCGGAGGGTTACAATGTCCACCGCCATCAGGTTCAAATCCATAATTCGGAGCACAAAAATTCGTTGCAGTAACAATAATTGAAGTACCCGGAATACACCATCGGAGTTCCTCAACACATCGAACTTCAAAGCAAGCTCCGCAAATCTGACCCTTTTCGAATAGCACAGTGCTTAATCCAGCTGTCGATTTACCATACCCACTTCTCTCTAAATCACCGTACCCACACGCGCCACCTACTACATCCCGCGGATCTGCAGGAGCATAGTAGGTGGCCCGTCCTGGCCGCCACTCCGATGGGTGAGCGGCGGCGGCGGTGGAGGAGGAAGACGGTGACCAATTGTAGTGGGAGTGAGCTAGTGAGAATGTACTACACAGTGTGAGTGTTAGTAATAATTGTAGCAACATTTTCGACAGTACTGAGAATTTTGGGAATTGGGAAATTTTATCATTTCTACATTGATACTACTGTAGTTTTTTTTCTTCCTCCTGACCCGATTAATTTGAATTCGCATTTTGCAAGATTCATTTAAGAAGAAAACACGTTGTAGTAGAGTTTTTTCTTATTCAGAACTTGAATTTGAAACATATAATTATAGCTTTTTTTTTGTTTTCAACCCGATGTTGGATATTTGTATTGGTATTTGAATAATTTGAAATTGAGTCGGTTAAGACTCGTTTAAAAGGTAAATGTCTTGTAATAGGATCTTTTTTTCCATATGTAGAGCACAAACACGAAGCATCTAATTAAGACTGATGAAATTATTTCATCTAATTATAGGTAAAATTCAAATTCAAAACATCTAATCATGAGTAATAAAATTTTATTCATTCCATTACTACGCGGGATGGCTACGTGTACTATTGTGTTTTGAGTGTCGGTAAAGTGAAGGACAATGGCATTGGCTATGCATTTTTGAACTTCAAAAGTTGTCCGTTGTTCAATACTAGGCTGGGACAATGCTTCATAACTCGACCCCGATTAGTACAGTTAGATAGTTAGAGTTTCTTCGTACCAAACACAAATATAAGATTTGAGACGAAGCTATTAAATTTTAGCTACCGAATATGTAGATTTTCCTATAGCTCTGCCCTGCTATGGAGCACCACATGCAAGTAATTGCAAGCTAGTAGATTATTCAATATGAAAAAGAATTATATGTGTTTATTGAAATTAATATAGACTATATATATAACTGTATGGAATCAAAATAACAAAGCGTCATGTAATAGTTAATAATCGTAAATTTTAACGAGGATACAGAGGAAACAAAGAAAAGTAAAAGCCAATTTTGAACTGCTAAAACTGTGTTGAAACATTAACCTCTAGTAAGCATACAAGTGGACGTGCCGGAGTGGTTATCGGGCATGACTAGAAATCATGTGGGCTTTGCCCGCGCAGGTTCGAATCCTGCCGTCCACGCTTTTTCTGTTTTTTTTTTTATAGATCTTTTTGATCGATATTTTTCAATCCTTAAAATTAAGACGTTTGAATCTAACTGCACATCTGAATATTAAGATATTGTATTAATCCATCTCTTTTATTCACTTTGTCGTGTTGGGGTGACGTTTGAATCTAAGTGCACATCTGAATATTAAGATGTTGTATTAGCTCATCTCTTTGATTCACTCTGTCGTGTAGGGGTGCATATCTTGTATCAATTTTTCAATATACTAATCCGCTAGCCAACCAATAAGATATCAATTATTTTTATTGTTTTTTCATTGAATTTCATGTGGTATCAAATAACGTAATACAATATCTCATTCACGAGCCAAAGGTTGTGCCCATTTCGTGTGTTGTTTTGATTTCAGAATCAAAACACCTTCTCCTTCATGATATTCAGAAGAGAGTAGAGCTTCAAGATCGACTTACCTTCTATTTTATTAAGAGGAATGAACCCATACACCTCCCACTATTTTTGGGTAAAGATTCTTATTTGCCTAGCTTTGGTAAAAATTTCCCCTACACAATTCATAAAAATTTCAAGAATTCCTTGATGGATAGATCCGTCCACTCAACACTAGTGTAGAATTGAATTTTTTATCTAATGAATCTCATTTATAGTTAGGATCGACCATACATTTTCTTTTCATTCTTATTTTACATCATAAACAAATAAAACTAGAATTTCATGGTGTATCAAATAACAAATTCATTTCTATTATTGTTCTATTACTTTGGTCTCTTTGCACCAATAATCTATCAAAAACAACTTTCTAGGTTATAATTTTTTTTTCTTTTATCTTTTTTTTTTTCTCTAAAAAAAAGTACAGCCAAAATGAAAATGAAAAGAAAAAGGATATTACGCCTCCACGATAATGACTAGAAACTTCTAACTTTTCACTACATTTCACATTCTTCAAATCAAATTTTCCTCCCGCTCCACCCTAATCTTCTTTTTCTTTTGTTTTCTATCATATTGAAACTCAATTAAATTCAAATTCTCGTCGTATAATTTCATACCGAGTAACGCTATATCATACATAGGGCTCAAACCTAAAATGTCTAATTAAGAATTAAAAAAAAGTACTTATCAATCTACTACTACCTTTATCGACGATTTTTCATTAGTAATTCCATTTCCCAACATTCATGAAAATAATTATTTACATTGTACAAGTATACATATATATGACAAATCACCATAACCAAAACATTGGATTCTTTTTTTTTCTTAGTAAATGTCGAGAATTTCAAGAATGGATCTATTACAAAGTGGACAATAACCTCGATTTACCCAAAGCTCTCTTGAACACACCCTGCAAAATGTGTGACCACATGGTATAAATGCTGCTCCTTTTTTTCTTCTCATACACACACAACACACACTATCACTCCCCACCCCCACCCCACCACCCCCCTCTTCTTCTTTCTCCATCAAAAATTCTCCTTCATACACTTCTGTTTCCTCTAACAACCTCATCAACGACATTCTTGTTGGCGTCCCAGGAACATTTCCCGAGACACCTTCATCGGGCCTATAATTTGGGCCGGGCCTAATGTTGACTTCATTGTTGTCATAAGTTGGTACATTCATCGGGCCACTTTCATTGGGTCTCAGTGGGCCGGGCCTTGAGCCCGGATGGATGTTGACTTCATTATTATTGTCATAATCTGCTCTGAAGTGGCGTTCGGCGGCCAATGCGGCCGCCAAGTTCATCCCGGAACTTCCTCCTCCGGCCACCGCCAGACACGTTGTCATAGCTGACGGTGTTTCTGACGGTGTGTGGATATGATGACTCATCACTTCTACGTCGTCGTTTTCGTCTTCATCGTCAACGACACTAAACGTTGTTGCTGGCATGATACCCCAAGTGGACCCGCAACATCCGATTCGTTTTAATCCTAGCCGTTCAGTTAGACTCTTTCGTCGTCTTATAACTCGATCACCACCGTCCATTTTCTATATCTTTAATTACTTTGATTTTTCCTGCAAATTTAAAATCCAAAATTTCATCTATGAAGCCATTTATAGATGAAAATTTTGAAATATAATACCATAAAACATGTGTGTCTATATAAATTTTCAAAATCCAATATGACAAAATAAACAAACGGAACAAGTATATCCGAATTTCTTGATGCGTTCAATAGAATTCAATATTTTCTAGAACACAAAATCAACAAGAACAACAGATATATTCAGTGTAATCTTACAAGTAGGACATGGGAGAGCGGTGTGTATACAATCCTTTACTTATCTTATGAAAGTAAAAACATTGTTCTAGATAAACTTCAACTCAAGTAAAGCAATATCAAAATCAGTATAGAAAGGAAATACAACATTAAAAAAGTTATAGAAAAAAGGATAATAACAACACAAATAATAATATTTTAAAAATCAAAGATTTTCTAACACACAATACGTATATGGACAATCATAATTTTGAATATAATGTATATAAACATGTCTATATGAAGGATTAAAAGGAAAAACTAAAAGGTTTAGAAAAGAGAATTACTTAATATATACATACCAAGAATCAAAAATGAAATTAATCTTCCATGGTCATTACAACTATCAACTCTTTTTTGTGATTCAATTTAATTAGCATAAATTGAAGAAAAATAAAAAAGATAGAAGGAAGAAAAATGAAGTATTTTGGTAAGAAAAAATGGGAAGTCAATGAAATGTGGAGTCTTTGAAGAAGAAAGATAATATAGGACTAGTAGGTATATATGTCACTATTTTTCTTCTATTATAAATTTATAATTGATGCTTTGAATTAGAAATCAAACAAAAAGACAGATTGGAATGAAGAAAAGAGCAACAAAAGGAGAATAATTGGTGTGGTCTTTCTTGTTGTATTTTTCTTACTCGATATTTGATATTCTTATTAAAATTCAATCAAATTCGAATTTGTGTTGTAGGGACTATTTTTAAGACAACATTCCCAACAAGATTTTTAACTACTTCTCTTTATTTGGTTTGAAAATTAAAGGAACAAATTAATACAGATGGGGTGGTGGAGCCAAAATATTTAGTTCATAATGTTTATTAAATTTTGGATAAATTATCTATATATATTCAGTAAAAAAAACTAACATAAATACATAATTTGAGTCAAAAGTTATATTTAAAACCTACCTTCGCCGACTCTAACCCCAAAGATTAATTATTATTGCAAGTGTTTGAAAAAAAAAGTTGAAAGATGATATTTAAGTCAATGTTATATTTGAACATACAATTTATTTAAAATAAATAAATTTTATGATTATAAGAGTGTTTTCACTTGAAACTCATCTTCAAAAACTAATCAAAACATTAATCTAATTTATAACCAATTTTTTTTTTTAAAAAAGATAAATTATCTTTCCAAACGGTTCATTTAAGTCCCAAGATTACTTTATTTGGCTTGAAATTAGAACTAAAGGAACAAAGATTAATTATTATTTTATTTTCTGATTAAGGTTTTGAGTCTTTGACAAGAATTTCTATTTTTTTAATTATTTATTTTGAATAAACATTTAAGAAAATTGCGTGTTGTATAAGGTTTTACTCTATCCGTCCACTTTTAATTATCATGGCTTTTTTAGAGTCAAACGATAAGAATTTTGACTAACATGATGTATTTTTCATCATATTGATATGCAAAAAAATTGCAATTTATAGTACTTTTCTGTATAGTTTTTGAATATGTAAACTTTTTGTATAAAAATTGTATTAATGTAATTTAATTTAACTTTAAAAATTAAGCATCATGACAATTAAAACTAGATGAGGAGTAATAAAATTAGTCGCCAGCCTTAAATAAAGTCAAACGCCATCGACGAAATTAGGCTCACGGATCAAGATTTTCCATGTGGCATTTGCCTTTGCCTTTAGGATATCTTTCCCTTTTTTTAAAGATCAATTATTTAGTATTTTGTCTGTTTTAATCTGTTTGTTTGGTTAAATACACGTTGAATGTATTAAAATATTTTTTAATGATATGTTCTTAAATATATCAGGTGAAAAATTAAAATTGAAAAGTTGCTAAAAAGGAAAAAATATATTCTTTTTAAATGCATTATTAAAGAAAATAGGCCAAATAAATTAAAATAGAGGGTGTAATATTTATTACTTTCTCCGTTTTAATTTACTTATCTTATTTTAACTTGACATCGAATCTAAAAAAAGTAAAGAAGACTTATGAATTTTATAATCTTAAATATGTCATTTAATTTTACGATCACGTGAAAAATTGAAATTAAAGATTTGCCAATAAATAAACAAATGAAAACGAAGGAAGTATTTATTATTTACGTATCCTTTCATCTTTCTTTATATGTTCAATGATTCAATTTGTAGTTTGAGTTGTTAAACCACACATGTAATACCCTTAATTTTTGGTTAAAGAATGATAAACTCCATATTGGTTTGTTGACTTCAATATTCTCATTGTCATTACTTTATTAGTATTAAATTTCATTTCTCCCAAGTTTTTAATTGGGCCGAAATTTTTTAAAAATCGATGCGATAAATCATTTAATTTTTTTTAAGTGTTGCTAAATCGGCATAAAGAATTCATAGGAATGTTTTTCATATTTTATAACGTCTTTAATTAACATAAAAAGGGTAATATTTTGACATATAAATAGTATAAAAATGTATCACACCCCAAAAATACCTTTAAAGTTTAATATTTTATCATCTCATATTTGTAGAACAATTTTAGGGAGTATTTCTTACTACATGATTAGCTTATGTGCCAGAAGTTTTAAATTGTTTTTAAAATGGAAACGAAAAATAGAATATATATAGTATATCGTTGTAAATTTGATAATTGAATTTCGAACTTTAAAAACCTTACCTTCACGGGTCATTTGGTACGAAGAATAAAAGACAATAATTCAAAAATAAAATGTTTAATTATCTTATCTTAGGTTTGGTTAAGAATATTAATTAGTCTCAGAATTTTTATTATAATGATAAGATAAGTTATTCTATATATATGGTGAGATAACTAATTTCATGAAATATCTCAATTCATGAGTTAACTTTGTCTATCCCATCTCTCATACCTAAATAATTAACCCCAAAGTCGGTATAAGATTATGCAGAGATCAATTATTCCTGTATTAGTTATTCCACCTTCTACATAGATTTCCTCATAAACCTATGCACATACTAGTTTTTTTTTTCTCTAAATAGCAAATCAAACGCAATATTAATTTTATAGATGAATAATTTACCTCATAATTAGATACCAAATTATGCATAAGCTAACTAATACATGAATAATTAATCCCTCCATAATATATAGCGTAGATTTTCCTCATAACTAATCCTTACATTACTCTAACCAGTTACGAAACAACCCCTAAGTTAATACTCCTAATATCAATATCTACGATCCCAAAAAAAAAAAAAGAGAAAAAAATTCTATGACTAATCCTTACATTACTCTAACCAGCTACGAAACGACCCCTACGTTAATACTCCTAATAACAATATCTACGATCTAAAAAAAAAACAAGAGAAAAAAATTCCGTTACCGGGAATCGAACCCGGGTCCCCTGGGTGAAAGCCAGATATCCTAACCGCTGGACGATAACGGATTGATGTGAGATGTTTACAGTATTATTGTTAATAAGAATAAACAACACAATGCGCAAAAAAATAAAACAGTGCATGCTTGCCCTGTTCTGCAAACTCCATAAGGGGAAGCTGGCAAAACTCAAACCCCATTTCAAAATACCAATTCAATGTCCACCTCTTCTCAGGTTCAGCTACTTTCTTTATTACTATAATTTTGCCTATTTTTTAGTTTTTTCTTGGTGTTTTTTTTTTCTAGTTCTTGCATTGATTTTAGTTTGTGTTTGATCCAGAAAGATTGGATTTTTTTGGTGTATCTAAGTGATAATAATGGAGAGGATGTGAAAAGTTCCATACCCAATATTCCATTTTCGATCAATTTTGATTTTGCATTGATTTTATTGTGTTTGATTAAAAAAAGGTTGAATTTTTGGTGCTATTGAGTGATAAACTTTGAAGAGGATGAGAATAGTTCCATACCCAAGATTTCATCTCTCTATTAGTAGCATTTTGATTAGTTAATCAATCCATTCTCAAATTTGTTTCTGACCCGTTTTCATAATTTAGTCTAATAAACAAATTTGAAGTTGGCTTAAACTAGAGATTCTCTAAATTGGTATCATATATATCAGAAGCATGAGTTTAGTTTATTTTAGTATTTTGTGTTTTTTCGAGTTCTTGTTTTGATTTTAGTTTTTGTTTGATTAAAGAAGGTTGGATTTTTGAGGTAGAGGTAAGGTCTGCGTACACTCTATCATCCCCAAACCCCACTGTGTGGAACTACATTCGGTATGTTGTTGTAAATAAGGTTGGATTTTTGGTGCCTCTAAGTGATAATTTGGAAAGGGATGAGAATAATTCCATTCCGAAGATTCCACTTGATGAAGGTTCTAATTTAGTTTACTTTTAACAAACAAATTTTGAAGTCGTGTATAACTAGTGATCTTCTTAATCAGAAACTTATGCAATACTGCAGAATAAACATGTCTCAACTTAGTTGGTACCATATATATTAGTAGCATGAGTTTAGTTTTTTCTTTTTGTGTGTTTTTTCTAGTTCTTGCACTGATTTGATTTGTGTTTGATTCATAAAGGTTGGATTTTTGGTGCCTCTAAGTGATAATTTGGAAGAGGATGGGAAAAGTTCCATACCCAAGATTCCACTTTCAGAAGGTCCTAATTGTGTTGGCCGGGATTGCATTCCAGTTACTGATAAGAGGCTGAGCCGCAAGCATCTTACTATCACTGCTACCTGCACTGGCTCCGCTGATGTTGTTGTGGTACTTCTCTGCACCTTTTTCCTTTCTTCATGATCATGTTCATGTATTATTGATTGTTTAAACATATCAATCAATCATTCAACGATGACTCAATCTCAAATTAGTTGGGTCAGTTGTCTATGAGCTCTATTCTGGTTGAATTCAGTATTTGGATGATTCGTCCTAGTTAATATACATACACAGATGTACACAAACACACCCCCATGTGTGTGTGTTTATTGTGGATTATCCTTTTGTAACTTGTGGATACTAGGATTCTCGGCAGTATGCTTGTTTTCAGTCTGCAGCTTTGGTGATGAATTTTCTGCTTAGTTTCCTGTGCTTGTATACCGAGTGATTGGATGGATTGGTGGCAATTCTTGCAAGTTTGGTTCGTAAATTCATGTATACATTGCTTGTTAAATGCATGAGTTCTGTCTACACCTTGTGATAGTTTTTCAACTTATTTACAAATGTAAAAGTATGCTGGTGTCCTTGCTTCTTAATTTCCCATTGAAGTCTTTTCTTTGGAATAAACATGGGACTGGATTGCAGGAAGGAACAAATCCAGTTGTTATAAGATCAAAGGGTGAGAGAAAGAAGCTTTTGTCTAGAGAGAGGTGGAAACTCGGAAGTGGTGATATCATAGAGTTGATACCTGGGCATTACCTATTTAAGTACGTTAGCACAGCTCGTAAGGATGAAACTTCACCAGGTAACAAACAAAAAAGGCCTTTCAGTGAAGAAAACATTACTGACAAAGGCCAGATGCATGGCAAGAAGAAAGCTCGAGAAGTCTGTCAAGAGGAAGCTTCAGAAATGGTATGGGTTTCCTTGTTTCCCCATTTTGTCTCTGAATAGATAGAATCTTTTAACACGTTGTTGGGAAAAATGTGTACGGAAAAAGTTTGAACTTTTATTGCTTGTTAAATCTTTGGCTTACAGAATATGTTGCACAACAATGGCCAAGAAACAAATAGTTCTGCAGAGGCCATACGTCAGTTTAGGGTTCCCAAACACAAGTTGCCCCTCACATTCAGATTGATGAGAGTGCGTGAGCTTCCAGCATGGGCAAATTCAGAAGCTGTTTCTATTAGTGATGTTATTCAGGTAGAGTTATGCATTGTGGCTGTTTTGGGATTGGTTCTGTTTGGATGAGATGTTGGTCCTCCTAGATAGATGCATTACTGGTCATGAATTAGTGAAGGGGCAAAAGAAGATGTGACGTCAAGTTTGCTTCTGAATTCCCTGAACTGATGCTTCCCTAGTGAACTCGTGATCCTATCCTTTCTTTTCTGAGATTTAGATTCTTGCATATATTTATTTTTGATGAAGAACTCTTGCATATATTCATCCAATACTCTTCTACAATATTAAGTGTATAGGAGCTATATGGCAGCAAAGACTTTTGAGCTAAGTCGTTTAACTGGTTCCAAATTCTCACTGTGTACCAATGTGTCCTATAGATAGTTATTACTAGGTAAAATGTCCCACAATGGTTGAGGAAATAGGTGGTTGTCTTTTTACATGGTACTCTCTCCGTTTCAATTTGTTTGTGTTGGTTTTGACTTTTGCATAGAATTTAAGAAAGTGAAAAAGACTTTTTGAATATGGTCTTAAGATATGTAGAATGTACCAAATTTCCCTTTAATCTTGTGGTTTTAAACACGCCACGTGGAAAGTTAGAATTAAAGAGTTGCCAAAAAAGAAAGAGATATTTTTTTGAAACGGACTAAATAGGAAAGTTAGACAAACAAATTGAAACAGAGGGAGTATTAGGCAATCCTCATCACATGAGGTACCTTTTGGGGTTGAGTTAGTTCCAAGGTCCATTTCCCTTACATGGTTAGGGTCAGACCATCCCTATTCTTGGTTCACCCAATCTTGCTTCTCATGTAATATTATCCACGCTCTTAGAATGTCTCACATTGGTTGGGGGAATGGACTGATGTCTCTTCATATTGCTGTCTTTTGAGATTTTTTCACCTCACACTCTAGCTTTTGGAGTTGAGTTAAATCCAAGGTCCATTTTTCATATGATAATTGATAAATCTTTCTATATATGTACTTGTAATTGTTGTATAATGTTTACGTTTGTGTTGGTGGCTTGACATTGGCTCCTATTTATCATAGGGGAATGTGCTTGTAGCTATCCTCTCGAATTACATGGTGGATATGGATTGGCTACTTTCTGGTGAGTTCTGTCATTTTGCCTTATCTTTAGTTTTTTTATTTTGTTAACATTGTCTGTTTCTCCTATTATTTATGTTCTTCGACGTCTTGGATTGTCCAATGAGGCGGTTTCCCAACTTATTTGTTGTTGCCATTGTTTGTTAGATACTCTGTACAAGTTTATTTGCTTTTATGAACTAAGTTAATCTTTTTTTCTGTCTGAAGACTGATTTCATGGTCCTTTCTAATGCAGCATGTCCAACTCTAAAACGGATTCCTAATGTTCTCATCATTCATGGAGAAGGTGATGGTACCATGGAGTACATGAAGGTTAACATTTTTTAAGTTATGAGAATCTAATGTTATTGAAGTTTCTCTTGGATTAAATTTCTACTTCATTGTTTTCTTCCTTTACAGAGAAGCAAGCTTGCGAATTGGATTCTGCACAAACCTTCTTTACCGATTGCATATGGAACACACCATTCAAAAGCCATGCTTCTTGTCTATCCAACAGGAGTTAGAGTTATTGTACATACTGCAAATTTGATCTCTATTGATTGGAATAACAAAAGCCAGGGATTGTGGATGCAAGATTTCCCCTGGAAGGATCAAAATAATTTGGGCAAGGATGGTGGATTTGAAAATGATTTGGTTGATTATCTAAGCGCGTTAAAGGTATAAATGAATTCAAACCCAAAATCAAGAACAACTTTACATTGCATCAAAAGAACTTTTGATGTTTTAAAAATTTATTTAATTTGAATACACCTAAATTATTTTAGTCATCTTCCTCACACTTGATACAACAATAACATACCTAGTGTAATCTAGGTCTAGGGAGGGTGGTGTGTATGCAGCCTTACCCCTATCTTGTGAAGGTAGAACGGTTGTTTCCAATGGACTCTCGGTTTAAGTAAAGCATTACAGAAACAATATGAAAATAAAATATAGTGATGAAGAAGCCATGATGAAAATAAAGGAGAAAAGAACAATAGTCACACAAATAATACCATAAATGGGACTAGGAACAACAACAACATACCCGGTGAAATCCCACAAGTGGAGTCTGAGGAGGGTAGAATGTACGTAGACCTACCCGTACCTCACAGAGGTAGAGAGGTTGTTTCCGGGGACTAGGAAGCAGTAGGTAATAATAAATTCAAAGACTAAGATAGTATGAGAGTAATAATAATGATCTTGATAAGGAAAACTAGGCAACTCTCGACTACCTACTAATCTTCTACCCTAATCCTCACATATCCTCCTATCTAGGGTCATGTCCTTTGTCCTGTCTAATCATCTCTTCCCAGTACTTATTCGGGCTACCTCTACCTCTTCTCATACCCGTCATAGCCAACCTCTCACGCTTCTTCACTGCCTCAAGACATCTATCCATCTCCTCTTCACATTTCCGAACCATCTCAGTCTCGTCCCCCTCATCTTGCCCACAATGTTGGCCACTCCCACCTTGTCTCGAATATCTTCGTTCTTAATCTTGTCTCTCCTAGTATGCCCACACATCCATCTAAACATCCTTCTTTATGCTACTTTCATCTTCTAGACGTGCGAGTTCTTGACTGACCAACACTCTGTCCCATACAACATATCTGGTCTAACAACTTCTTTATAAGACTTACCTTTTAAGTCTTGGTGTCACATTCCTTTTACACAAGACACTGGATGCAAGCCTCTATATCATCCATCCTGCTCTAATTCGATGTGTAATATCATCGTCAATCTCTCCATTTCCTTGAATTATTGACCTAAGATACCTGAAACTTCCTCTCTTGGAGACGACTTGTGTGTCAATCCTTACTTCCACATTTGCCTCGTGAACCATTATGTTTCTGCACTTGATTTGTAGGCTTCCTTCTTGATTGGCAGACTAACATTGAAGAAACATCATTGGCTTTTCATTAGTTGCCAATCTTCATACTCATGAAAATAGAGACCTAAAAGAGGAAGGTATGAAAATGAAACAAACGTGCTTTCACTATTGTGGATATGAAGCACCTTCAGGCAGCAAACTAACATTGAAGAATGAAGACATATTATTGACTTTCATTTGTTTACCAATCTTCATGGTCACCAAAACTATAGGCTTACAAAGAGGAATGTGTGAGAATTAACTCTCTTTTTGATAAGGTTTTATCTTTTATACAACTTTTTGTGTAAATTGCAATAACTGGGTCACCATTATACTACTATTATTTTCCACCATCAAGAATTGTACCCTTTTGTAAAGCTTATTTCAAGGAACCAAACAGATTGAAGTGTGAATTAGCTTACCCTGGAACTTAAACAAGGAATTAGTACAATGATTTGTTTTTGCAATATAGAATATTGACATTGTTCCACTCTATGTGGAGAGCTATGACTATATGTATCTGTAGATGCTGCACAACATGCTATTTTAGAGGAAACTTTGTCTTGTTATGCAGTAAATCAGGACCGAGGAGCTTCACACTTTCTTGGTGTCTGCATCTGATGGCGTTTAGCCTTTTTCCCTTTTTATTAGTCACCCTCTACTGTCGGAATATTTCCTTTTTCCTTTAACATGTTTAATTCTGTTAAATCTTTCCGCAGTGGCCGGAATTTACTGTTAATATACCAGCCTTTGGAAGCTGCAAGATCAACTCCTCATTCTTCAAGAAATTTGATTACAGTAGCGCATCGGTATTTGCTCATTTATTTTACAGTAATAATCTTTTGTCACCCTAGCTGAAATTATATCTCCTTTTTGCCCACAATGTATGTGATAATTCAATATTCAGACAATGTGGTGTCTGAGGTTTTACAGACTCCCAGGACATAAATATTCATTTCTTTACTGTCCGCTCTCTTTTCAGTTACAGCTCATAGGAAGCCCTCACTACTAAAAAGGAGAAAAAGAAAGGATGAAATAAAAAGTAAAATAGAGCTAACAAACATGGCATTTCAATGTCACATTTTGAAACTAGTGCGTCTTTGTTTGGTGAAAAATTTTGCTTGCACATGTTTGCTCTTCAAAAATACCCCCGGGTGCGTGTCGGATCTTCCAAAAGTAGTACATTTTTAGAGGATCCGTCACGAGTGCAACACCATTTTTGGAGTGTCCGAGCAACATAGGTATTATGTCCTCTTTCACTATTTATCATGGTGTCTGATTCTATGGTTAAGATTTTTGTACCCATGTTGAGGCGGAGGTGATAAGAAGTATAAATTGTTGCTTGGAATTTTAGAGAACTGTGTGGGGCGAACTGTTTGTGATACCATTTAAGGTGCAGTGTGATAAAATGACCTTAAGTTGTCATTTCTCCAATTCCAGGTCAGGCTAATTGCATCTGTGCCTGGATATCATTCAGGTTCTAGTTTGAGGAAGTGGGGACATATGAAGTTACGTACTATTCTTCAGGAATGTACTTTTAGCAAAGAATTTCAGAAGTCTCCTCTTATATACCAGGTATCGGTATCTTTTTGAGTTTCATTCAGCTCCAAGGATTCTTTCACCAGATGTTTCTATATTACACCTGCATTATCAAATATCATTAACATCTGTGCCTTCAATTGCCTCCTGCAGTTCTCCTCCCTAGGCTCTTTGGATGAGAAATGGATGACAGAGTTTGCCTCTTCAATGTCGGCGGGAGTTACAGACGATAAAAAACCTCTGGGCATTGGGGAGCCAATGATAGTATGGCCCAATGTAGAAGATGTTAGATGTTCTTTGGAGGTAATATTGAACAAGTCCTATTAGACTATTAGTGGATCACTAACCTGACCATGGATGTCAAACATAAGGGTAATCCGCCGCCTATTAGCGGCATTGACTTAAGACCATACTTTAATAAATTGTTTTTATTCAGTTGACATTTGCAATAGATGTGCGTGGTCTCATTCGCTTGCTATTCTAGATGCTTGCTGATCTTCATAAGTGAAATCTGACTCCTCCTTTGATCTACTGAATGAATTTTAGTGCATCTTGCTTCATTTTCTAGGGATATGCAGCTGGAAGTGCCATTCCCAGCCCATCAAAGAACGTGGAGAAAGAATTTCTGAAGAAATATTGGGCTAGATGGAAAGCTAGCCACACTGGTCGTTGGTATAGTAGCCTTCTAAAGTTTTGAATTTCCGAAATAGTAGTTTCATTGCAATATTCTGGAATCCTTTGAAACCTGTGCATTCCTCTCTTAAATTCCTAAACCTATGGATGATGCATCACTTAAGGCCTTTACCTCTAGAGTTTTCCAATAGAAGCACTGTGGACTATTACTGAAGTAATCACTTATGTATCAGAAATTCATAATCATAGAAATCAGGCATAGTCATGTTAAGTAGTTTTATACTTGAATTACCACACGAGTTCTCTTCTTTTTTCTTTTTAATGACCTTCCTAAGGTTTTTGGGCTTTGCCAAATGGGAAGAAATTGATTGCCCAAGATCATATAATGTGCAAAACAACCCATCCCTTCACCAATGTTGCAATGTGCTACACTAACACCTCCCACCCCACCCCCACCCCCTCAGGCGTGCCAACTGGTACGTGGACAACGTTACATGGGGGTGCAAGATGGGGACATACAATAACAAGCAACTTTTTTAAAAATATTTCGGAATAGAGAAAGTGAAAGAACTTTCTCAAAAAAAGACAAATTAGCTCAAAAAAGAAAGTTACAGAATTTCTAGAAGAGAATATTTCTAAGAGTAGGGACTCAAATCCTTGGTTCGAAGTTAAGAAATGGATATGGGACCTAACTCAACCCCAAAAACTAGCTCATGAGGTGGCATTGCCCAAAACTGTACAAGGAGACAAAATAGGGAGCAAAGTAGTGACAGTGGTGAAGAGTGCTTATACTTTTGTATGTTTCTCTTGTGGTGGCAATAAAGGCAGTCACAGTAGCGCTAACCTTTCATAAACTTGTCTCTAGTGGCAATGGAAGACTCTGTAACTCGCGTCCTTTCTGGTAGGGTTTCTAGTGGTAAGAGTCAAAGTTTATGCATGCTGTTGCCTGATCAAAAAATGCTAATGCATACAGTTGCTACTTTTATCCTAGTTCGGCTGTATGCGTTGCTGAATAAATTTCTAAGTGACTGCTATAAACTCATAAAATATATATCTTGTACAATGATGTGGTAATTGTTCCATATTCTGAGTGGCATAACAATGTACAAAGGAGGCTCATTGTGAAGCTGATGTACGATCACTGCTTCTTGTGAAAATGCAGATTACTTGCATACTTGCATGCATAAAATTCCAAAAATCTGTTTTTATCTATTCCCACTACAAAGTGCATTAAAAGAAATATATTCAATATGTAGTTCTAGTGAAGCTCTAATGTGTCTGCATAAAAATTGTTCAATTCTGACCCATTGGAACAAACAATGTTGTCAAAGGCGTGCTTAACTAATGAAGCGAGGCTCAAAACATGTTGAGCGCTTTGCGTCGCTTAGCGGATGCTTCAGTGTAGGCTCTAAGACATACTTTTCCTTGCCAAAGAGCATATGAACAATTAACATTTCACTTTATCGTATTTTCTTTTTTCAATTTCTCTGTCCTTTTTTTTGTTATTCATGCTTATAATTATTTGTCTCGGATTACACATACATATTTGTTTTTTTTTCTCCATTTGTGCCTTTCTTCATCAAAGCTCATGCTATATTTGCGCGGTGCGCTTAAAGATCCTTTCTACCTTTGATAACTCTTGAGAACAAAGAAAGGATTTTCTTCATTTCTGACTTGATGACAGAAATTTCCGTCTGAATATTGCATGAGCTTTGCTGATATACACTGATCAATTTTAACTGCTGATGAATCTAGTTGCAAATCAGATTTTCCTTCTTTTTTAGCTCCTCTTTTCATTGATTTTCTTGAGAAAGGACACTTACCTTTTGTTCTTCAAATCTTCAGCCGTGCAATGCCTCATATTAAGACGTTTCTACGTTACAATGGTCAATCGTTAGCGTAAGACTTCCAAGACTCTGTTCTTTGTTTTTCTTAAGATTTGATTTCCCACTAATGTTGGATGATTGCTTTTGTTAATATTTGTTTTTTTTCTCTGGAAAAACAGGTGGTTCTTGCTTACTTCATCAAACCTCAGCAAAGCTGCCTGGGGCACTCTTCAGAAAAATAATTCTCAGTTGATGATTCGTTCCTACGAGGTATTTTTGTTCCTCTCTGGAGACTAGAAGCATCCAAGATAACAAACTGACACAGAGACTGAAGAAACTTGGTGAAAAGATCCAAATTTGTACCTGAACTATTAACTATTGCTACTTTCGCCTCATGTTACACTTCACCAACAAAAATACACTTGCCAGTTACACTTCGCCAACAAAAAGGCACTTGTCATTATGATTTGAGACAAGTTTCCCCCCTTCTTAACTAACAGGCAACAGCCCTCCACATGTCTATTTTAATCACTCCTGCTATAGACCACTGCCACGTATGCAGACACGTAGAATAACCCACCTTTACCTATTTCCCAAAAGCTGAATCAATCTTTTACCTGTATTAGTTTTCCTGGATTTACATTGACATCTTCTTAGAGGAGACAAAAACACTAAGTGATTTCTTCTCATCTGTCTTATCCTCGCCTCGGTGGACAAAATTACTTGGTACCTATTGTTGGTGGGAGGTGACATGTTTCCAGTAGAATAAGTCGAGGTGCGCGCAAGCTGGTCTGGACACCATTATTGTAAAAAAAAAAAAGAGGGTTAACATTGATATCTTGTTTATCCTTTAGATTTCATCTTGACTTGAACTTCTAAAATGACATTGTGATTGTAACTTATCTATCTTTGTCCTTGGCAGCTAGGGGTGCTCTTTTTGCCATCTTCTGTTAAACGCGGCTGTGGTTTTTCTTGTACAAATAATGGTTATCCATCAGAGGTACAACAATCATCTAGGTTTTTTTCATGTTAAGTTTATGCTTTATTAACTTTGATATGTATCGCCCGGTTTTTATTTCTTCGGATTTACAGGACGAGACTAGCATGCACGAAGGGAAAAAGATAAAGCTGGTAACTCTAGCTTGGCAGGGAAAGGGAAATGATGATTCTTCTGAAGTAATCAAGTTGCCGGTGCCTTACGAGCTTCCTCCAAAGCCATATTCCCCTGAAGGTCTTAGCTCTATAACAAAATCTCATTATAACAGTCGTGTTTTCTTTCGAACCAATTTTTTTATGTTATATTATATTATATGTTCTGTATAGCAACATTTCGTTATAGCAGCTAAAAAATATTCAAACGATGTTGTTATTAAGAGGTTTGACAGTTTACTGCTCTCTGAATAACATCAAGCTCACTGCATTTTTTCGTTGAATGCAGATATTCCTTGGTCATGGGATCGTCGATATACCAAGAAAGACATATATGGACAAGTTTGGCCGAGATAAGTAAAGATATACACCAACCAGGGCTCCTGATGTTTCGAATGAAGGGATCGATGTGTTAGGTGAAACGTTAATAAACGATTGACACTAGATTAGAGTTCTTGATTCTGTATATATTTAGGCATGAACCTTTAGAATGTTGGTACCATTTATGAGCTGGTTTTTCCATATAAATTGATGATTTTTTTCATCAGTTGGCTCTAGATTGGAGTTCTTGCTTCTGTGTATATTCTTAGGCATATGAATCTTTAGAATGTTGATACCATTTATGAGCTATTTTTTCCATAGAAATTGATGGATTTTTTCATCAGTTGGTGTTAGCATGATTGGATAGATTTTAAATATCTGTACATATCTATGTTATAACTCTAAATATTTGTGTAATGATGATAGGAGATAGCATAGATTAATGTAGCATATTTTCAGAAATATTACAATTAGGAATAGCATATATTTAGGGATATATAGCAGATTTTTAGGCATGTAAATCAGAATTCTTTCTATTTAATGGAAGAACTCTCATTTGAGAGAACTCATTCAGCAAAATTGACATGGTATCAGAGCCTTTTTCAGTGCTTTGATTCTTAGTGTCTTTCATTTGTGGTTTCTTTCAGAATTTTTTTTGAAAGTTTTTGGTTCAGCTTACTGTTTTTTAGTCAACAGTAAGTCCTAAGTATCTTGGAATTTTAGGCATCTTGGAATCTCAGTCTTGGTCATTTTGGTTATTTTGTATCATTGCATTTCTATCTTCCTTAACTTGTCAAGAACATGGCGTCATATCAGTTTGAGTCCTTCTATGTTCGTTTCACAGGAAAAAATTACTCTGTCTGGGAATTTCAATTCCAACTATTTGTCATTGGAAAAGAATTATGGGGACATATAGATGGAAGTGATCCTACTCCTACTGATCCTACAAAGCTCGATCAATGGAAGGTTAAAGATGCTCGGGTGATGACATGGCTTTTAGGGTCAATTGACCCTCTTATTGTTCTTAATCTCAGGCCATACAAGACAGCAAAGGCCATGTGGGATTATTTACAAAAGGTTTACAACCAAGACCATAGCGCAAGGCGCTTTCAGTTAGAGCATGAAATTGCTATGTATTCTCAAGGAGATCTCTCTGTTCAAGATTATTTCTCTGGATTTCAGAACTTATGGGCTGAATTTACCGATATCGTTTATACTACAATACCTTCTGAATCTATCTCCATCATTCAAGGAGTTCATGAACAAAGTAAGCGAGATCAATTTTTGATGAAATTACGATCTGATTTTGAAAATGTTCGCTCCAACTTGATGAATCGTGATCCATCTCCATTGTTGGATGTCTGTTTTAGAGAATTACTTCGTGAAGAGCAACGTCTCTTCACACAAAATGCTTTTCATCAAGGAAATGTTATCACTGTCGCATTTGCAGCTCAAGGGAAAGGAAAGGGCATGGATATGGCTAGAACTCAATGCTACAGTTGCAAGAAATATGGTCATATTGCTAGCAATTGTGGCAAGAAGTTCTGTAATTATTGTAAACAACAAGGACACATTATCAAAGAGTGTCCCACACGTCCTCAAAACCGTAGGGCAAATGCTTTTCAAGTTGGGATAAATGGTTCAACTACAGATAACTCGTCTTCAGTAGGACAAGTTCTTACTCCTGAAATGGTACAACAAATGATCTTGTCAGCATTTTCAGCTTTAGGGTTGCAAGGTAATGAGGTAATATCTAAATTTTGGCTTGTTGATTCTGGCGCTTCCAATCATATGACCAACTCAACTAATATACTCAAAAACATCCGTGAGTATAATGGTCCAACACAAATTCAGGTTGCCAATGGTAGTAATTTACCCATTACCAAGGTTGGGGATATTACTGAAACTTTCAAGAATGTTTTTGTATCACCAAAGCTCTCCACTAGTCTTATTTCAGTTGGCCAATTGGTAGATAACAATTGTGATGTGAATTTTTCTCGTAATGGTTGCCTTGTGCAGGATCAGGTGTCGGGGACGATAATCGCGAAGGGGCCTAAAGTTGGAAGATTGTTTCCTATACACTTTTCTATTCCTCGTGTTCTAGCTCTTGCTTCTACCACTACTAAGAATGAGGTTTGGCATAAACGTCTAGGACATCCAAATTCTATTGTGTTGTCTCATTTGTCCAATTCTGGTTTATTGGGAAATAAAAATCAATTTTCAGTTGCTTCCTTTGATTGTTCTACTTGTAAATTAGGCAAAAGTAAAACTCTTCCTTTTCCTAATTTTGGTAGTCGTGCTGCAAAGTGTTTTGATGTCATTCATAGTGATGTTTGGGGCATTTCACCAGTTATTTCTCATGCTCATTTCAAGTATTTTGTGACATTTATAGATGACTATAGTCGGTTTACATGGGTGTATTTTCTTCGATCAAAATTTGATGTGTTTTCCATATTTAAGAAAATTTTGGCTTACGTTGAGACTCAATTTTCCACATGCATCAAAATATTAAGATCTGATTCTGGTGGAGAATATATGTCTCATGAATTCAATAATTTCTTGCTTGAGAAAGGAATTGTATCACAACGCTCTTGCCCATATACGCCACAACAAAATGGGGTTGCTGAGCGTAAGAATCGTCATCTTTTAGATGTCACTCGTACTTTATTGATTGAGTCCTCTGTTCCATCTAAATATTGGGTTGAAGCTTTGTCTACTGCTGTCTATTTGATTAATAGACTTCCATCTAAAGTGTTAAATCTTGAGTCTCCATATTATCGTTTTTT